GGCAGCCCTGCTGTTGACCAGTCATAATTTGGAACAGAAATTTGCTTCCTTTACAGCAGTGTTAAGTGGGATTAGCAAGGAGAGTATGGTTAAACCATTGACCACCCAACCCCCTTGAAGTCTCTTATTCATTTTGTGCTAAAATAGCAAAATTCTGATGGCTTTATATACCGGTACACTAAATATGTAATCTCGTACTCAGATTGATTATTTACATTAATACATGTATTTAATTAATATAACAAAATCAAAAATGCTAGATAATTGTCTTATTTGGATTCAATCAGATTTAAACCAGGCCCATCAGGTGTCTCTGTGGTCTTGTTACGCTTGAGCAGTACAGATTGATGAAAACACAGTTTATCATAACTTTTTAAATACATGTACTGAACCTAGGTGAATCATTTTTTGGGCTGATATTCCCATTCAGATTAAAAACTTTCACAATATTGTAATTTGCAAGGGATTCCTATAGTGCTTAAAGCTGCAATTTCATATTTTTAAGTTATATTTTTAAAATTTATTAAAATAAAGCCTTAAAATAGATGGTATACATAAACCGTCCTACCTTGTTAAAGAATAATCCTATTAATCCTATAATTCACTATTGCCAGCTGAGAAATTGGCAAAAATATCATTTTCAACTTCAAATTACAAAGTTTGAAGGTAGCTAATGCATGAAGGCAATAGGAAAACAAGGGAGGTAATTGTGTTATTATTTCCTGTGTCAATGATTTTTAAGGGTGGGAAATAATTCCCATGGAGGTATAATAGTGAGTTGATAACCTATTGAGCAAAAGACATAGAAATAATTATGTTTTGACTTAGAAAATATGAAATTCTCGCTTTAATGACACATTAAAATCTCTAAGTTTATAGTATTAGTACATGTATGTTAGTTATTACCTACTAATATCTATTGATAATATAAATTGAGTAAGAGTCAGTATCTATCTACTGAAATAGTCACAATGAGCCAAATTATTCAAGTCAAAAGTCAGAAATATGAACTATTGCTAGTAATATTGTAACCTTTAGGCTTTATAATAATAATATTAAGTTAAATTACATCATACGATCGATGATACATACTAAATATTTCAATATACATATGTAACAATTTACAGAATTACAGATATCGAAAATTGAATGTTATTTATGCAAATATTTTATTATATGACCATTCAAACATTGACAATATAAGTACTTACTACTATTTACAATTTTCATAACTTATATATAATAATAATGATAAGTTCCTTGAATGACATTTAGAAGTAGAGGTATAATATTCATAATAACACAACTTTATGGATTTACTACTTCTTGGTTTATTACATGCAACGTTTCAATACTCTTACAGGTATCTTTATCAAGCAATGATCAATAATGAATAACAACTCTACATTTATAGTACATCCATGAGTAAGAACCATTTAACAATAAAAACATAACATTAATTAAGACTATAACAACAAACATTTCCCTTTGAGTATGGCTTTACCATTTTTCCTTCAATCTAAGGTGTTAAAAGTGGGGATTGAAGCCACCGCCTAAGCTAAAATGCAATCAAAACCCATTAATCACACCATCAAATATTTAATATGACTAATTTCAATACATTATGCATAATTAGTTAGGTTGAACCCACCCCCTCTTGCTCATACATTTACCATATTATTATATAGAAAATTTTAATTATTGTTCCAATAGAACAAATAAATAAGTTATAGTAGCCCTTATAAATAATAGTTCTACTGATAAATAAAAATTTTAATTTCCACTCCACTGATACGAATAATAACTTCTAGATCCACTCCACTGATAAAAAATTATTTTAATTTTACTTCACTGATAATTGATACTTATGGTATCCTATTGTATAATACTTATAAATAGTTCCAATAATAGATAATAACTTGCTTAACAAAATAATTCATTCCATACATTAGAAATGGCTCTCTCCATAAATATTTGATGGTGTGATTAATGGGTTTTGATTGCATTTTAGCTTAGGCGGTGGCTTCAATCCCCACTTTTAACACCTTAGATTGAAGGAAAAATGGTAAAGCCATACTCAAAGGGAAATGTTTGTTGTTATAGTCTTAATTAATGTTATGTTTTTATTGTTAAATGGTTCTTACTCATGGATGTACTATAAATGTAGAGTTGTTATTCATTATTGATCATTGCTTGATAAAGATACCTGTAAGAGTATTGAAACGTTGCATGTAATAAACCAAGAAGTAGTAAATCCATAAAGTTGTGTTATTATGAATAATAATGATATCTTAAAAAACAATGATAAGTTTCGTATTGTGGCATGTTGGAACTTTAAAGGCCAATAGGAAAACTTAATTTATTATTAGTATATGGTTTTCCCTGATCAAGAAATGAAATGGGGTTTAACTTTTCTGCTCCGAATCCGACTGGGCTAATGAAGACAGCTAGACAGGCATATGCGATATGATATAGTGTTCTATGAGGGAAATTGTGCCTGGATGGCGGTGGTACGGTCTACTCTCTTATTATATCAAATTCCAACTGTCAAGGCTTCTTTTATGTGCACACCATTGCTTGCCATCCAAACGACAACGAGGAACTATGCCAGAAAATCATGAACTTTTTCGACCAACACCGAGATCGAACTCACAGGTTAGTGAGCCAACGTCTTACTCACTATGCCTCCACTGTGACTCTTCCCCTAATCAAGATACATGTAGATGTGTGCTATGTGTTCTAAGAAAGAACATGGTTTGAATATTTAAAAATATAAAACTCAGCTTTCGATGTGAATACTATATTTTAATGATACATATACCTACGTTGTATGCAGACAGGAAGCTGTCAGTCAGACCAGGAAATTAGAGGAAAAGTAATAGTTCATGGAAGTTACAAGACAAACGTATGGAGAGGACACAATTTACATAGACCACAAACAACGACCGCTCATATCAGATCTACATGTAGTAGTAGAATCAGTAGACCCCTCTGTTAATGCAGAGTTTAAAGGAGCCAAGTCGCTATAACTCAATATCATCCACAGTCTTCAACATTCCAAACACGACTTATTGGTCAATTTAAATCAACATTGATGTTGTTACCATGCCTTGAAAAGATGGGCTTCTGATATCTAATATTTAAGACAAAATGAAAATTTTAAAATTTATAGCATGCAAATCGCATTGAGTCAAGTTGCATGGTTTTGTTCCCCGCTTGTGCGTGACAAGAAGTAGAGTCGCCTGTTCAACCTTGTGTGTTTTCTCCAGGTCCTTCGGTTTCCTGCCACTGCTAAAGGCCCCTACTTTCAAGAGAATTATTGAAATAAAATTGAACCATATGTAAGTCCCGAAATAACCTGGTTTGTGTCGAGTGAGTGTTGAACTTCTCTCTCTTTGTACAGGTAGTAGACCTACATGTACATGTAGAGGTAGATGTGTAGAGCAGGAAATGAGGGGAAAGTACCAGACCAGTAAACCTGGCTCTCTGATAATGTAGAATTTAACATCATGGAAGTATATTATTACCTATCTTATTCCTTATCTCTTCTCTCTCTCACTCACTCTCTCTACCAGTTTACTTACTATAAATAACATCATACACCTTATCAGCCTGCTGTCAGTCTCTTAGGCCAATATAATAAATAATACCGGTACTCACTCCCACTACATGTATACAGGTTATATTTCTCTCCACAAATTGGTAGGGCATATGAATTAAATAAATTTAATAAATAATATGTACTTCCACATAATACGTTTTTTTCTCTACAAATTTGTATGGCATATGATCCCTTTGCATTTGGAATTTGAATAAGTTGAAAACCAAGCCACCCTGGCAAAATTCTACACCTGCATGTACATGTAGCATTACAAATAAAACATTTTATCATTGTTAGTCTCGAAGTAAAGTATGTTGACAAGATGTTAAACCAATTCTAGTACAAATTGAAAATGCACATAAAGGATCCCTTGGCAGTTGAAATTTGGAGAATTTGAAAATTAAGTCATCCTTGCAATATTCAGCATTGCAAACATATATGTAGAAATAAAACATTTTATCATTGTAATTCTGTAAGTGAACTGAAATGGGGTTTAACTTCCAACTTTTCTGCACAGACTGAGCTAATGAAGATGGGGGTATGTCTACAGTGTGCTATGGGGAAAATTTTGTCTGGACATCAACACTACATGTACGGTCTACTCTTTAATTTCAAATTTCAACTGTCAAGGGTTCTTTTACATGCACGCCAATGTGTACATGGAACCTGTGTCAACCCATTCCATTATCCTGCTTGACTTCTCAACTTATTACTTAACACATCTATTCCCTGGTTGTACGTGTCAAGGAGGAGGGTAGCCTGTTCAACCTTGTGGGTTTTCTCTGTTCCTCCGGTTTCCTCCCACTGCTAAAGACCCCTACGTGCAAGAGAATTATTGAAATAAAAACATTGAACCAGAACCATGTGTTAGTCCCGAAATGACCTAGTTTGTGTCGAGTGGACGTTAAACCCCATTTCTCTCTCTTAACACATCCATATGTATGTGTGGTGGATAAGCCTACAGGGGGACAGCGGTAGTTCATTGTGTAAGGTGGTGGCTCACTAACCAGGAGGGCCCCGGTTAGATCCAGGTGTTGGCCTAGAAAATTTTTCCGGAATTTTCCAGCATAGTATCACCCCTTGTTAGTGGGGTAGGCAAAGGGGCTGGCAAAGCACGCCGTCTAATCAGTCAGTTGGGACGAAAAGCGGAGATCACATGTATGTAAAAGCAACTGTCTGTGACATTCACATATCTATACATGTACATGTAAGCATGTCATCATTGGAACTGGAGTGGAAGAGCAAAAAAGTAGCACATTAAAATCCCATTGTGTTTCATTTCATGGTGTACAGGCGTTTAGAATAAACCACCAGGTATAATGGATTGAAGAGAAACAAATAATAATTATGAAAGGCCTTGATATACCTGTCTTATTTCTTCAAGATGTAGTTGTCTAAGACTGGTCGTTGCTGAATAACAACGTCCATTACCAGAAGATACCCGAGAGCTGTGTTCGTACCAAACTTTTCGATATGACTTTCATCAGGGGCAAAAAACATTGTTTCGCTATTTGAACTTGTGTTCAAGTTTTTTTTATGAACAGAAATTAATTAAATTCTGTTATTTGTGTTTTATTAGTGAAAAGACTAATTTAAAATAGTTATGACTGTATAATATCTTTTGTTGCAACGGAGAAAGAATTATATTGTGTATTACGACGTGGCATTTAGCCTCGAACTTCGATTCTGTGATAGGAAGGAGTTGAAATCAAAAGATTCAATTTCTGTTCTGAACATCATCATTTTTAATGATGCATCACAGATAAGTTTAAAAAGAAGATTAAAGTTAAATCTTCTGAAATTGTGTGACGAGAGGGAATAAGGATTTCAAAGAGAGGATCCTTTGGAGATTAATGGTAAAAAGGATAATCGCATGTGGCTATCAATGGATTTAGATTATCTAATACAGTCGTTGGATGGAGTTAGGGTTTGTACACCTCACCCTTGTAGAAAAAGAAAGGTAATTTATTTTGCACAATCTAATCCATGCTACACGTAAATACATGTATAGTTGAATTGATGATTTAAAGATGCATTATCCAAGAGCTAAATCCAACACTTATCCATTGTTGGTAGTGATGTCTTCTTTTTGCAGAGGATGTCGAATGTTGACAAATTTTCAATCCATCATACATGTATCTTTGTAAATACTGAATGGAATTGAACCATTTTTGGACTGATATTAATTTTAGATGTCAACTTTTCACAATATACATCTAATACATGTAGATGGCAAAGGGTTGGATATCCTGAACAAATTGTCAATTTTGATTGATTGGTCTGTGGACTTTCATATAATTTGTTTTGTTCTAGGTAGATTCTAATTTTTAAGGAATGTCTGTTTTGTCCAGATAAACAGAGTACTATGTACTGCTAATTTCAGACTTTGTTGTGTTTATGTACGTCTACATACTGGTAGATGTACATGTATGTGTACAATGCGCATGTATTTTGTTGTGTCTAGGTTCACAAGAATTATAAATATTTGTTCTCAATGTAAGTTTTATTGAACAATTTTGCTGAATATCCTATTTAGTTTCATTCAAGAAATAAAAGATTGATCACCAGGTTCATTGACATTGCATTGACTGAATCTTAAAATAGCTATAACATTTTAAATGACAGAAATTCGCACATAGCGTTATTGAAGACACTGACTTGTTTTTAAAACCCAGGTACATTTACAGGTTGTAAAAACTCAACACAAATTACTATTTAAACATTGTCTCTGTCAATACAAGCCTTCACTTGACATCTCACTCAAAATTTGAATTTTGAGCCAAAAAGTGGTGGAAAGCTAACTACATGTACAACGATACACGGATTTTTGTATTGAGATGCATGAGCTATATACAGGACGTACATTTAGTTTGGTACGTTTAGTTTGGTGACAAAAGGCACACGTAAGCTTACATGTATAATATAGTTTTTGAAATCATGTTTTTTGTAGAGTGTGCATTTGTAGGCAATAACCAATGACTGCTGTCTCAACTCTATGGAATACGATTGCTGTTTATTATTGAGCAACATTTCGACCTGGTTTCTTTAATTAAAAAGACCAAAATGTCCCATAATGATAAAGAAACCACCTACATGTACATGTATATTTGTGCTTTGCAAACTGTTTCAATAGAAATCACCTACAGTATAATCTTCATTTTCATATATTATTTGCTGAAACTCAAGCAATCGAAATGAATGCAGGCTTGTTTTTATTGCAATACTACATGTACATGTATGTGGTTGTCAAAGTTGTTCAAACTGTAACCCCTGCATCCTCTAGAACATTCAATGGTTTTGATTTTCATTGGATTTAAACATAATTGCCTGTCGATGATTTAATTAAAAAATGGAAAATCAAGACTTTATTATCGTACATGTAACAATGGCAGCAATGACAATCGAGACTACATTCACCAAACAGAACTTGGTCAGAATGAAGTAATTTGACTGGAATTTTTAACATATTCATTTTTCATTATCAATTTTTACACTATTAATATTATAGCGAGAACTGTCAGCTCTTTGTGGGGTGGATGGCCGAATCGATGGCATGTGCGTGCTGTATCACAAGGTCTGTCATTGAGTCAACTGGTGCGGTTTCGATTCCCCGGTTGTATGTGACAAGGAGTAGGGTCGCCTGTTCAATCTCGTGAGTTTTCCCCGGGTCCTCCAGTTTCTTCCCACTGCTAAAGACCCCTATGCGCAAACGAATTATTGAAATAAAATTGAACCATATGTTGGTCCCGAAATGATCTAAATGCCATTGAAACAAATGAAATGAAATGGGGTTTAACCTCCTACTGTTCTGCTCCTATACTGGGCTAATGAAGACGGATATACCGTCACATACGCCATACATTGTGCTATGAGGGAAATTTTGCCTGGGCAGCGGCACTATGGCCTACTCTTATATCAGATTCCAAATGCCAAGGGATCTGTTACAGGCACCCCAATGTATATACAACGCCTTGGTCTATCGTCCCATCTGAATGAACTTTCTCGGCCAAGGTAGGGATCGAACACGCGACCTCCAGGCTAATGAACCAGCGACCAGCGTCTTACCCACTTAGTTACCATTGAAACAATTTGACATCTAGTGTATACATGTAAAAGGATATAATTATAGTTTGCTGATGTTAATAATTCTTTTATCATGTAATTGATGAATATATTGATTAATTCAATTTAGAAATTTTTGCCGTTAAAGCTTGGATGATGATAAACACTCAAACGATATACATGTATCCTTGGTTTATCTCTCGATGACACAGAGGTTGAGTGGTTTAATGTGTGCGCTTTAGATCAGAAGGTCTGTCATTGAGTCAAGTTGCATGGTTTAGGACCGTGCAACTAGACGAAACTCACATGAAACCATAGGATTGTTTTAAATGAGTCAACCCTGTTATTTGTGAGGGAAATCCTAAGATTGTTCTAAATGAGTCAACCTTGTTACATGTATACTATTCAAAAAAAGTAGGGGATATTTGATTTTGGGGGCATAATACTAAAATATGCAAATGACTACGAAAAAAGTCACTATAGAACCTAACAGAAGAAACATTTCCAGTTACATGTGACGCCCAAACGCACCAATAGCTACCGCATGGAATGCAGGGATGCTTGGGATCATCATGGGGGTCCAACCAAAGATTTGCACGACTCTGACTTTGAATATTACAGTCATTGTGGCATTGAATTCCAGGGTGGAAACATCAGTTTAATTGTTTTAGTGACCAGAAAACAAATTTTGATATGCGTCGGCTTACCCAAAATGAAAGGTTACGTGCCCTTGGCATGGTACAGATCGGCACAACACAGGCGGTTGTGGCGCGGACGATGAATGTTTCTCAGTCTGTCATAAGCAGGCTATGGTCCAGATACCGTGATATACAATCTGTACAGGACAGACCACGCTCAGGTCGACCAAGGGCGACAACTCAAGCCCAGGATCGATTTATCCGTACCTTGGCGTTGAAAAATCGTGTCATCACAGCAAATCAGATCAGCGCTCGTCTTCAAACAGACACTGGTGTGAGAGTGAGTGGCCAGACGATTCGGAATCGACTGCATAGGGGTCACCTTCGCGCCCGACGTCCTCGCGTGATCCCTTGTTTGAGAGATCATCACATTCAGGCAAGACGTCGTTGGTGTAGGGATCGTCAACACTGGGATAATCGACGCTGGAGCAATGTGATGTTTTCAGATGAGTCAAGGTTCACTGTTGATTTTTTGGACAGACGTAGGAGGGTGTGGGGTCGTCGAAACGAGCGCTTCCAAGACGTTAACGTCATCAGACATGATCAATTTGGGGGTGGTTCTGTTATGGTGTGGGGAGGCATCACTGTTGCTGGAAGAACGGCTTTACATGTTGTTGCAGGGCGTGTTACAGGCCAGTACTACCGGGACAACATCTTGGCAGTCCATGTTGTGCCGTTCGCACGACGTCATGGCCGCCGTTTCATCTTCCAGGATGACAACGCAAGATGTCACAGGGCCAGGATCGTTACAGGTTACCTCCAACAACAGAACATCACCACATTACCTTGGCCAGCACTGAGTCCCGACCTCTCCCCCATCGAGCATGTCTGGGACATGCTTGGACAGAGGTTACGTCAACGTCAACAACGTCCTGCCGCTGCGTTGCAACAGGAATGGGACAATCTGGACCAAAATGACCTTAAACGTCTCATTAGGAGTATGCCACGTCGGATCAATGCTTGTTTGGCAAACAGAGGAGGATTTACCCGTTACTGACTTGGTTGTGATGCTGTGGTAACTTTGCTGTTTGACCCCGGGTATCATTTTACCCTTATAATGGTCAGTCTGTGCCTTACTTAGTCTAACGATCATTTGGAATAAATCGATGAATGTGAACTTCATTTCATTTTGTCATTTGTTTCTTCGTCAGTTTCATTAGGTGACTTTAATAACACTTAAAAATCAAATATCCCCTACTTTTTTTGAATAGTATATTTGTGAAGGGGAGCTGCGGTGGCTAAGTGAGTAAGGTGTTGGCTCACTAACATGGAGGTCCCATGTTTTATCCCAGTATTGGCCGAAAATGTTCATCTGCATTTTTCAGTGTGGTTCCCTGTTGTCAGAAGTGTAGGAGTGATCGAGGTCATGTCAAGGGACAATGTACAGAGGTCTCGTGTACACATTGGTGTGCACGTAAATAAAACCTTGACAGTTGAAATTCAGAATAAGAGTAGGCTGTAGAGTTGCTGTCCTGGAAAAAATTCCCTATTAAGATACTGTATGCCCAAATTGATTAGCTCAGTCGGTGCAGAAAAGTAGAAATCGAAACCCCATTTGTTTTTTTATTTGTCAATTATTTGTACGTAACTAATTTTACTTAATTAAAAAATAGTAAAGAGTAACATTGGAATGAAATACATGTTGATGAATGAGGTATTTATTATCCGTGACTCTTAAAATATGTCAGATTTTTGTTCACAAGTTAAGTGTAACTTAGTTTGATCAAGTGTTCTAAATTACAAGTTGTTTGGAAAATATCCAAGTTTGTTTTTGGCAATGGTTATGGTAAAATCATAACCTTCTGCGCTATATGATTCAGGATACATCCATGATAATATCACTTAGGTATACATGTTTCAATAATCTTACTTTCTCCTAATGGATAGATTGCCTGCATGACTTGAAGCACGGCTCATGGAATAAGATATGTTCCAGTTTTTTTTACGCTCAATTTTAGCTTGATTCTAGATACAGATTAATAAGAGATTTGGCTTATACCCACTCCCGTTTCTAACTTACAGACACTGCAGTCAGTATACATGTACATGTATTAATAGCAACGCAAGAGCACATTAATTGATTTAAAAACAAAAAGTACCTGGTTGTTCTTTTCAAAAGTTTTGAAATATTAAACAAAACATCATACACAAAACTTGAGTACTGTAGTTATTTATATATCAAGGCCCTGAACAATTAGATATTAAATTTGTTTGATCTAACAACAGAAAGGACTAAAAATTTGCAAAGATCAAGCTCTTTCTTCTTACAAAGATGTTTTATTTGTTTCACTAACTTACATGTACAATCCATCCATCATTGTCAGGAACTAATAATACAACACAGAAAAATCATTAGAGAAGTTTAGAGAAGAAAAAAATAACAATTATCATAATACATGTGGTTCTTTTGTAGATATTTTATCTACATGTATGATTAAAATGGGTTTATTTTTTTATTTTCATTTTTTTGGGGGTTGAGTGTAGGCGTGCATTATCAACATACTAACAGATGTGAAGTTTATAAACTTGATTGTAGATTCAGGAGAGTTTATTGTCGAGCACCTTGCAGCTGAAAATTACTCCAAATAAATTTTTTATGGAAAACATTTCTGTCACTTAATTTACATTCCACAAAAATAGAATTTCTAAATTTTGACTTAAAACATTTTAAACAGTTGAATTTATCTGTAAAAGCACTTAAAAATATATTTTCCTTTGAAAAAATACCTGACAATTGCATTAATCTGAAGTAAAGATATTGAATTGCCTTGCTCTTGCTGCAAATTGTGCAGCACTATAACCTGGGTACATCTATTATTCTTTCACGTTCACTCAATATCAAATCGAGGGGGGAGGGAGGGCGGATATTGCTATTGTATCATAAGGTCTGTCATTTGAGTCAACTGGCGTGGTTTCGACTTCTCGGTTGTTGATCCAATCTTGTGGGTTTTCCCCAGTTTATCTGGTTTCCTCCCACTGCTAAAAACCCCTACGTGCACATGAATTATTGAAATAAATTTGAACTATATGTTTGTCCCGAAATGACCTAGTTTGTATTGAATAGTAAAAGTAGTCTTATCGTTTTAAAGGTCAGCTTTTTATCTGGAGTGACTGGACACAAGTACAGATTAGGGGATTTTAGACAAATTTTCAATAGTTTATTAGCAATAGTACTTGACAATCAAGACTATTTACATGTCCAACATTCATAACTTCACTCAGAATAAAGTAATCTGACTGAAATTTTCTATATGCACTTCCCACTTCTATTTTAAAACCATTATAGCAAGAATGCTGATCAGCATCTTTAATTTTTAGCATGTATTATAAATAAGACTTATAACAAGTGATCAACCTCTGATTATTACCATGTGTAATAAAGTTACATAAGATAAAGTTACATAAGCGATACTTATACATGTATCTGGAAATAGAATTCCGCCCTCACAACAATCAAATAATCAATAGTGATTAATTAAATCAATGTCCTTGATGACCTCGCGATGATGTAATGGTCGTCTGCGTCTTCTATTATTAGAGTTGGAAGAAGCAATGCACAGACCATAATAGACCGATTAATACACAGTTTGAAATGGTGGCCCTTCTAGGAGATGGCATACATTTTAATACACAATTATAGGATCGATTACATCATGATACAGATAATAGTTTAATTTAACTCTAGCTATCCTCCTAGGTTCCAATCCACTTATAGTTAAGTGAACGCGGAGTCGCAGACCCTTTTGGTTAAAAAATGCATCCAGTAGTATTCTTAAACCTAGAGCCCTCTTTTCCTATTATAATCCTTTTCCAGTGCGAATAACAGATTTCTGTGTTTCGTCTGATAAAAGGGAGTCACTGTAGGTACCTCAATCAGTATGATGCTGGCTGATCCAACTGGAAGGTTCCAGGTTCGAACCCAGTGTAGGCCGAAAAAGGTCATCTTGATTGATCAGAATTGGTTTCCTCGTGTCAATTGTGCATTATGGAGGGTATGGTTTCCCCTTGTCAGTGGTGCAGGATGGAGGGCCTGGCAAGGAACAGTGCCTATAGTCGTTAAGATGGAACAGAAAAACAAGGTCTGGTGTTTACTCCAGCATGCACATTCAAGAACCCTTGACCTTGAAGACGCGTTAAAAGTAGGTGGAAATGCTGTAATCCCGGCAAAATGTCTCGCTTAGCACTCGGTCTTCATTAGCCTGGTTGGTGCATAAGAGTAGGAAAATTAAATAAAACCCCATTTCATTTCATTTTGTCTGATAATTTCAAACTCTAATCCTACCAGTTTGTTTATTTATCCTATTGATAATTTACATACATGTAATGTAAAATCTGTGTGGATATATGGCTTTTAAAACTAAAATTGCGATGTTCTTTGGGGGATATTAAGAACGCCCACTTGATAGAACATCATCTACTGATATATCAAAACCAGATGATATATGAGGTATCTTCAAATTATTTTTATTACTAGATTATGGTACTAATTTAAAGAGACATTTCTACAAAATTTAGTCAAATATTTTTTTCTTTAGAAATTATTTAAAATGTCCAATTTTTTAAAGGGGTTATGATATAGTAAGACGCTGGTTCGCTAACCAGACGGTCACAGCTTTCATCTTGGTGTCAGCAAACAAAACTCTACAGGATTTTACTGTACAACTTCCCTATAGGCTACATGTATGTCATTGGTGTAGGAGAGAATGCCAGGCAAAGAACATATTGATCTATTCATTATGGATGGGACAAGAAATTGCATCCTGTGTGCCCTTAAAAGAACCCTTGACAGTTTGAATTGGATGAAGAATAGGCAGAAATACTGCTGCCTGGGCAAAATCCCCCTCAAAATATGATATACCGGTACATGTATACCGATCTTCATTAGCCTACATGTATTTGGTGCAGAACAGTACGATTTAAAACTAAATTCATATGAAAAAGAAATTGAAGGAAAGATAACTTACTTTGATGAATGCAGGGACTGTTGTTGAAAGAATGTCCCTTTAAAGCTGTAGAAATGATAACTTAAGTTCATTTCTAATTTAACTAATGTAAGCTTAACCAACATTTTCCATTTATTTGTATTTTCAGTCAGTAAAACGACACAGCTCGTATCATGGATCTCCATCCAAACAGAAACACGCCTTCCAGTTGAGACGACCGTCAGGATCTTACGTTTACGTCAGGTAAGTTTGTTTGAAAGCGTTTCCTTGAAAATCATTTTTAACATTATCTTTTCCAAAATGAGGTTTATGAATGAGGCGAGGGTTTGTTTTTGCATTTTTCCCCTACGACGGTTTATTGACTCGCGTTCACATTGTAACTCAAATACTCCAATGATTGCATATAGCATATATATATAACACCCTTATATGAGAGAGAGAGAGGTAGGGAGGCATGGGATACGTCCATTTCTTGACTAACATAGTGTAATAACCGTATCAATATTTAGCGCTCGAGCATGGACTGTGATAAGTTATATGTAGGTATATGTGTATCAGACCTAGCGTGGGCTGTGATAGGTTAATGTATAAGTATACGTGTATATTAAAGGAGTAGTAAATAAAACTCAGTAATAGTTTATGTGTGGGTCAGAAGGAATCACGTTTTATATGAAGCCTAGTAGCCTGAATTTTTTGCAGACATTGTCCGTGACAGATTGCTTATTTTCAGGCTTGCCTATGATCTGATATATTTCCAAGTTCCAGACTTGCTTATTATTTGAAATATTTTCAGGCTTGCCTATGATCTGAAATATTTCCACATTCCAGGCTTGCCTATTATCTGAAATATTTCACTGTTCCAGGCTGGCCTATTATTATTTGAAATATTTGATAGCTAGTGATTCATATTTGCATACTGGGTTTCCAGTGTGAGGGGGGAATCATTTGTATCTAGACACAATCTGATTAAAATATTGATCTATATTTTGTTTTTGATTGTTAAAACTTTCGATAGCCTTCACTACATGAATATCCGACCGGTTGTATTCAGGGGTTGCATCAGGGGTCATGCATATGACTTTTGACCCTATGACGTCCGTCATTTGATTTTAAAACCAATCATTGTCTGTATTTTAAGCAGCTATTCGGAAATACAACTTTTGCTTTGATCTTTTTTCTATCGGTGCAGATGTCTACCCATAGTTTCAAGTGCCACTCAATAGACCAATTGATTGGCTAATCCATCACATCATCCAAAACCTGTTTTTTTAAACTGTAAAAACGAAACGAAATACATGTAGTCTACATGATTTAATTAAATTGATCGAGACAGGCACTGGAATAATAATACCCCCATCAATGACAGCAGATGTTTTATTTTTATAATAAGTTGAACAATCTGGTGTATATGTTAAGACATGTAGACAGATTAATCCTGTAATTAGGTTGTCAGTTTGTGGGTGGAGGAAGACTAACTTACATATATTGATGAACATATTACATACTTCATGTCTGGTGGTATTCAAATACATGTATGGTTTATAATAAACATATCAATCTGTAATCGTTTCCATTCTAACTTAAAAAATATCTTCAAAATATTTTTTAAAAAAATTGAAGTACACATGTACATGTACATGTATCTCAGTTAAATTGACCGATTTTTATCAGCCAGTTACTGATTAGTAATGTTTTGTTCTGTAGAGAATTCTCTAATGTTTTGTTTGATCCTAGTCAAAACATCACTCAGTGATAAACAATAATTGTAGACTTGTGTATTTCTATCTTAATTACTAAATATAATTGAAACAATTTTCACTATGGACCAGGAACAGAACATTATGTTGTCACTGCCATCTTGAAATTTTTTGATATCAAAAATCAAAGTCTGTTCAATGATGCACATTTGCCCAAGGAACAAGCATGCCTAGTTTCATGTCGATCATACACTGTACTTGAATTGGCGGAACCGTAACAACGAAAAGATGCATAGTTCCTGGTCAAACAATTACGATCGTACTATGGACCAGAAACTGAACATGTTGTTGGATGGAATTCAAAAATCTTAATTCATCAAATTGATGCAGAATTGTTCAAAGAAGAAGCATGCCTATTTTCATGATGATCAGACTTGAATTGACGAAGCCTTAGACTTTTTCAAAGAGTATCACCCCAAGAACCAGACCCCCCCCCCCCCCCCAACTTAAAAGATGAGTAGCGATTAGCAACCAGTTCCTGGTCCAATAAAAATTGGTAAGATAATGGATGATAAGGAAAGATTCCCAGATTTTTCTTATCAACAGTATTTCATTCATAAATGAATTGGATCTGAGAACAAGCATGGTCTATTTAACCCCTCTCCTATAAAACAACTTAAACATAAAAGATGTGCTAGAACAGTGGTTCTCAACCTTGGAACAAATAAAAACATAATGGCACACCTGGCTAAATACATATATGAAAAATATTTGAATTTTGCAAAATAAAAACATGGCAAGTCAGACGGCATACAACCGTAGACAGAGACTAGTCATAGACACTTAGGTTGACCCGAACTATACACAGATATGAACTTATCAATAGACAACAGTGAATACTCAATTGGGATCATGTGTTTTTTTGCATTTTCTTACTGTGCCGTTCAAAATTCTGCGGCACACCTTTGGGAATCACTGTGCTAGGATAATAAAAAAACTGAAATTTACAGGGTTAGTGAACTGACTAGGTTTAATGACCTTGAGTTACATGTATTAATTTGAGACTGAGACTATTAGTTAGATCCTATTTACATTACATGTTATATTTATTTCATTATAATTATCATATTAATACTATTAGAAAGGAAGAAAGCTATTAACTACATTAATATGGTATAGTATCTATATTTAGAACTGTTGGATTGTGTATGGCCATCGTGTTTACTTTATAGACTGTTTACAACATCCTTGGTCTGGCTTGGCCTAGGTATAGGTAGTCGACCCCATTAACCTCTATGGCAGGGTAAGAGTTAATTTGTAGAATGGTAAAAACAGATTAGCATCTACAAATAAACAACCTTAATGGTATTAAAGAGGATATCACTCAGTTATCTACAAAATGAGAATAAAACCTGTGTTAAAGAGAATGTCAGGGACAAAATTGGGGAAAAAAAAAAAACAACAACAAGAGTGTACATGTACATGTTAAAAGAGAGTATTGGTTATCAACAAAATTTTGGGAAATAAAATCCAAGATCGTACATGTACACATATGAAAGGCAACTAATTTATGAATTTGGAAAATAACACTAATATTTTAAAGATGTATTACATGTGCATGTACACATGTATGTAAGAGCTAAATCTGCCTATTGCAGGTCTTTCTTTTAGCTTTAAATAAATTATTAGTTACACATTTATTCACATGCCAAACCTACAATCAATTTAACAATAAAATAGATAATTGAGACTTAGTCTCAGTTGTCCAATACCATTGATACAATAATAAATGATCTCTAGATCTTCCTTGAAATGCTAACTTTGCTCAGAATAAAGTAATTTGAATGAAATTTTCAATATTAATTTTTCATTACCTTTCTTTGAACTATTATAACAAGAATGGCCAGCTCTTTATCTATATCTTACATAATGCATCTTTAATTGACGTTAATATATAATTGTCTTGTTGATTGGATGAAATGTTTAAATGTAAAAGTAACGAATACAAGTTTTCTTAAATTAATTACTTTGACTTTTGATTTATAGGTTTCCTTCATATGTTTTTACTTTCATAAAAATATGAAGAAACATTCTAAGATTTTGTCAATTGCCTATTTCCTAACTCGACTATTCCTGTCTAGCACTTTAGTTCTAAAGGCAAAATCTTATGAACTTTGCTCAGTTTTCAAGTGGGAAATCTTAAGAGTGTTAACATAACTATATATACTTGAAGTTAGATTTTTAAATATGGGTATTTTAAAGTCTTTATGCATATATACAAATTACATGTGCTTAAACATCAAAATAAAGGTTTTTTTAAAACTTTAAATTGGTTTTAAGTCAAATTACATGTGCTTAAACATCAAAATATAGTTGTTTGTTTTTAAAAACTTTTAATTGGTTTTAAGTCAAATTATCTACAGTTCAAGTTTGTATACATAGTGATTCCTGATGAGAGAAATTGGTGCCTTATTAAGAATTATAAGGTGAGTTATTCCTGCAGGATAATGGACCGCTGAGTTAAGGTTTAAATAATACTGATTGATCGACTGAAGGATAGATATAATCCCAAGAGCCAAGATGGATTACATTTTCATTTCGTTTATTTTTTTGCTGAACAATGTGGTCTAACCAACTTCAAATCAAATGTAGCATAAAAATAGTGGCCCAGTGAGCATGGTGCCCGGTCATTAACCAGGATTGGCTCAGATAGTGTGAGTAAGACGTTGGCTCACTGACGTTGGAGATCCTGTGTTCAATCCGGGAGTTGGCCGAGAAAGTTCATTGTGATTTTCCGGCGTGGTTCCTTCTTGTCAATGGTGTATGACGAAGGGCCTGGCAAGGGACAATGTATAGTCAATTGGATGGTACGAAAAACCTAGGTCCTGCGTATACATTGGCGTGCACGTAAAATATCTCCTCGCAGTTAGAATTCAATATATAATTTCCTCCCAGCACACTGCCAGTTTTCATTAGTTCAGTTTGTGCTGAAAAGTAGGACGTTAAAACATGCTTCATTTACGAACTGGCATTTTAGACAGCAAACTGTTTCGGTTAGCTCAAGATCCTTCAGAATCGTACAAAGCCAATTTGAGGTTAATGCACATGCCAACTTTACAAACAGTTCTCTCAACTCTTAACTATTCCATGTATTTTCCATTGTTTTGCATTTTGTGTTCATAATACATTTAAGTTTTGACATTTTAATGCTCTCCATTTGCATTATTATTATTATTATTCAACTATTCTAATAAATCATGCTTCGTCCACGCTACTACTACATGTATGCACGCAACAGTGAGAGTTTAAACATTGAGTATATAATATACATGAACATGTAAGATGTACTGTATATAAATGTGTATAAAGACTAGTATATTATTACTAAGTTCAAGTAGTATTATCTTACATTGGTTATATACTCTACTGTATGATATTAATATAACCTTGATGAACATACCCTCAACATAACAATATACATGTACCATACAATGTAAACTGGAACCTTTGGTCAAAGTATACAAGTGAGTGAGTAAATGTGATGTT